GTGTGCCCAGCTCTGCCGGCACCCAGACAGCTGGACACTTTCTCACTTCTGCGAAATCTCAGAATCTCTGGTGGATTTCTGTGAACTTGTTCTCTAACCCGGATTCTGGGTTTTTATACTACTGTAAGCAGCTATTGTTAGAATGAAGTGCCTTCATATAGACGTTTATCTTTAAATGTAATTCTTGTTACGTAAGAAACCGAACCTCACAAAAGTGATGTTGCAGAAAGGATGACTGCGGAATCCAGTGGAAACCATTCATGAGGACACATGGATCACTGCAGGGAGAAGTGCACTCGGGCGTGTGTGGTGGGAGAAGACCCCGGCCATGGGCTGCCGCCAGCCAAGTGGCCATTGTCACCTTACAGCCACAGAGCGCATGCTTACTAGATAAAGAACTCTTTGCATATTAAGCACTTCCATCAAGATCTTAAACTGGATTTCTTAACTATTCACTCACTTCGGCAAACGAAGCTACTGGCCAGTTGAGGCAGATCTTTGCTCACACAGTAAGAGGGTATTAAACGTGCCCCCTGTGTGCTAGTGGTGGGGAGGAGAGGTAGCTGGTGCCTGGCACAGTCTGGGCTTCCCGGGAAAGCAGGGTCCCTGGGGGAGGGAGCCCTCTCTGCGGCCCCGGAGCCCCGGCACCTTCCTGTGGTGGTGGGAGAAGGCCACGGCAGGGGCTGGATCTGCCTGAGCCGGGGATGGGGGAGCATTCCAGGGAGGCGCCTTCCAGGCTGAGGGGAAATTGCTCATGTGTTCAGGGAACAGGGAGTGACTGGGCGTGGCTGGAGTGCCAGGCGGGGCAGGAGGTGAGCTTGCAAGTAGGCTGTTCCCTTGGAGCAGGACAGGTTTTACCCGAGGCCAGAGCCTGAGCAGGCTCTAGATCTGCCCCAGTTCTGCTGCTTCCAAGTGGTTTTAAGGGCGTGGGAATCCCCACCTCGCGCCTAGCACGTGCTCAACAAGTGGCCAGAATGTCTAGCCTGGGATCCTCACTTCAGCAAGCCTTGCCTGAAGACCTTACCCCAAACCCCTTACTCACTCGTCCCTTCTCCTCCTCTAGTGAGCACCGTGCCAGGCCACAGCTGGCATCCCCAGGGCACACAGAGGATGACTGAACACCCGGGTCAGGCGAGCCTAGGGAGGGAAGGAGGATAGGCAGGACGCTATCCCTTTCCTTTCTCCACCGCGGGAGGGCCCGCCTTCCTGGGTGGTGCCCGCGGACACTGGGAAAGAAGCTCTTCCACATGGCAAAGCCGCTGTGGTGTGGGGCTTCCCTGGGCCAGGCACTGGGGGCTTCCCCAGGGTAACTCATGGACTCGCCCAGCCCTAGGAGGCAGGTGCTGTCACCTCCTTGCACAGATAAGGTCACACTGACATTCAGAGGCAGCTCACCTGGCTCCCAAGTGTGGGTCTGCCTCCCTACCTCCAGACTCAGAACATAGCCTGTCCAGAAGCCCAGCACAAGTTCTAGAGGCACTGACGTATACACTGGGTCTTGCAGCATAGACCAGTCCTGAGTGAATGGAGCTGCTGGTGAAGGGTATTCCAAGCAAGTGGAAGACTGGACTAGGAAGTCACAGGTTGCAGGAGGAATCTGTGCATGTCGGCAGCGAGAGTGACAGTCCCCCACAGAGAGGATGCCCTGGGACAGGGAGAGGATACACCCAGGCTCAGAGTCCGAGGCCAGTTCTTGGTCTAGGCCAGTGGCCAAGGAGGAGTCACAAGAGTGAGCAAGCATAGAAAGTTCCCAGAACCAACAGATTCTTCCAGACATATTTGAAAATCTTATAAGGGATCAGGGGACCTCCCTGAGTAGAAATGGAGTGCCATCGTCTCTTAAGAAACCTCATAATCCATTGCTTAAGGAACTAATTGCATTCCTTGGCCTGATCTCATTCTCTCAGGACTAGACTTGAGTGTCCTTGCCTTTGTGGAAGAGGGGAAGGGAGAGGACGCAGGATTGTGGGTCCTGTGTTGCTTTCCTGGGACTTTCAGAACAAAGTGCCCCGTACTGAGCGGCTTAAACAGCAGAGATGTATTCCCTCGCGTTTCGGGAGGCCAGGCGTTGAAGACAAGGTGTCAGCAGGGCGGGTTCCTTCTGAGGCTGTGAGGGCAACTGTTCTGGGCCTTGCTCATGGCTTCTGGGGACTTGCAGACCGTCTTTGGCATTCCTTGGCTTGTAGGCCCGCCACCCCAGCCTCTGCCTTCCTCTTCGGGTGGTGTGTGTGTGTGTGTCTGTCTGTCTGTGTGTGTCTGTGTCCGGATTTCCCCTTCTTGTTCGGTTATATGACATGAGGGCCCATGCTAATGATCTCATCTCAACTTGATCACCTGCAAAGACTCTCGCTCTCAATAAGGTCCCCTTCACAGGGATTAGGGGTTAGGACTTCATCATCTTTGGGGAGATACAGTTCGACCTTTAGCATTCCCCAAGTGTGTCCTGTAGAGTACCAACCTCCACATCCCCCTGAACAACCCAGACAGGAGAGAGAAGGACAGTGTTCCGAATCCTTCCAGATCTCAACCTTTGCCTGTGGGAGAGGCAGCCACTCTTCGTGCCTGTGGGCCCTCCCCAAGCAGATCCTGAGCTGGGAAAGGAAGCTGCCTCTGTGGGTGTCAAGAGGCCAGAGCAGCTGCCTAGCTTTCTGGACTGACTCTGCTGCCCGTGGTCACCCGGCTTTTAGGACAGGAAGAAAGACCTGGAGCCCAGGGAATGTTCCAGACATTGGAGAAGCAACTCCAAATCTGTTTACTCCAAACATATCTATATATACATAGTAGTTAGGTGCAGTTGCAATAGTGCTGTAAAGACATTTCCCGAAATGTGTAATTGATATTGAAAAAGGTATATGATATGTTAAAGAAAGTAAACACAAAATTTTACATATGGTTTTATTTCAAATGTTTTAAACAACTTTGTTGAGATATAATTCACATATCATATGATGTACCTATTTAAAATCTGCAGTTCGTGGATTTTTAATATATTCACAAAGTTGTGCAACTGTCACCACAATTGTAGAACATTTTTATTATCCCCAAAAGAAACCCCACACCCCTCAGCCAGCACCCACCAAGCCCTCCCTTCTCCCCATCCCAGTCCTTAGATCACCTTCATCTACGTTCCAGCTCTGACTTACCTGTTTACCTACATTTCATTCAGCTGTATACTTTTAATTAGGAAAAAATTGAAAAGAAATACCGACCAGACGGTGTGATTTCCACCAGTGAATGAATGGCAGAATTACAATTTTAGTTTTCTTCTATTTTTGATATTTTTTTCTAATTATGCAATGAGCATAAATTGCTAATAATTGAAGGAAGTGGGCTATTTTGAAAAGAAAGAACTGTCTTATCATAATAATAGTCCTTGTGGATGCTCTGAACCCCCCTCCCCAATACCTAAATCATCCTTATGGTAGCGGGGAATGTGTCTGAGTTTCCAGCAGCAGGCTTCAGATTGGAACTTTGGAGCACAGGTCGTTAGAAGTCGGGAGTGCTTGCACTGCACTCGTTTGCTCTGTGTTCGGTTTTCTAGACCGGCCCCTGCCAGCCCTTGCCCCACTACTGAGCGCCCCACATTCTTAATCGGGGACCTCTCTTAACCCTTAACAAATTGTCAGATGGCATGGGTGAGAGGCCCTGTAATTAAGCCACATACTTTGCTTCTTTAATAACATTGGAGACAGAGAGCATAGTTCTGTGAGGGGACAGAAGGAGTATATAATTTAGTGCCCTTTTTCTGAGCCAGTATGAAATTCGTGCGTGTACTGTCTTGCTTGCTTCGGGTCTAAAAACTGATCTGTTGTCTCAGTGACTGTGTACATAAGAATGTCTACACTGGGGGATGCTGGGTCAGTTCACGAGACAAACTAATCCTGCCTGTGCAATAGAACCTCACGTGTTGTCAAAGTGAGAAGCCCAGGCGCCAGCCTCAACTCACCATGCTCTTCTGGGCTGCGTCCGCCAAGCGTGCTCCTCACCTCTAACTGGCCTCCCCTCCTCCACACACGGCCACCGTCCCACACACGTCTCACCTGGACAAGGGCAGCAGCCTCCGAGCCATCTCCTCCTCCCTGCCCTCCTGTGCTCCTTCCGCTCTGACCAATGCTGGAGGATGAAGGCTGTCCTCCGTACGTGCTGGTATCCCACGGGATCTGACCCCCTCGCCTGTCCAGTCTCGTCACCCACATCTCCTGTGCACGTATCCTTGTTCCCACCACAGCAGCCTCTGGCTGATTCCTCAAATCCCATCCACCCATGAGTTCTTAATCTAGGCTCCATGGATAGAGCATAAGCCCACATGTGAATGTTTTGAGAGAGAGAGAGAGAGTGTGTGTGTGTTTCAGGAGGGAGTACTTGGCTTTCGTAAAATTCTTAGTGGATCCATGGACTCCCGGATTTTAGGACTTTGCTCTGTGCATTTGAATGTACTCCTCCCCTTACATGTTGCCTCTCACCTGTCCACCTGGTGAGCTGCTCTTGACTCTGCTTGGAGGTCATGACTTCCTGCCTGATGTGCCTTCCTCCATGTCCCTGGGGTTTAATTACTTGTTGACATACCTGTTTCTCCTACTAGACCCAAGCTTCTGGGGATAGAAGCTCTTTCTCCCGGTCTCCCAATCCTAAGCATAGTGCCCAGCATGTGGTCAGCACTCAGTCAACACTTGCAGAAGGAAAGAGACCAGGAGGGGCACGCCAGATCATTCTTCTCTAAGGAAAGCCCACCGAGTGGTCCCTGCTTAGTATCGTGAATGGCTTCCTGATCCCAAGGCACCACTCCTGCCTCATTTACTTTCATGAACACAGGGATCGTCTCCCTTTTGTGTGTCCACAGGCATTTCCTTTAAGAGGTAGAAGGCACTACTGTCAAGCATCTGCACGGAGAAATCAGACTTCCATTTGCTGTGGGAACTCACTAGATGGATAATGATTTTTAAATTACCTCTTGACAAATTTTGAACTCTTTTTCTTTTCTTTCTTTCCTTCGCTTTCAGATTGATGCACTGAGTAAAAGAAGCAAAGAAGCTGAGGCAGCCTTCTTGAATGTCTACAAAAGACTGATTGATGTTCCAGGTAAGCCCTGGCACTGATAGATAGCCCGCCAGCGGGCATGGTGTCTGGTGAGTTGGTGGGTTTGGGGCTCATTCTTCTCAGCTTTCCTACAGAAAATATGCCAACATGGCAACTTTCCCCAAGAAACCAGAGAATTCTGGGAACATGAATTCTCCACAACCCAGACTTTGGATAGGATGGAGATTTGAGGCACTTGTTAAAATACTCATATAATCTCTAGTTGGCACCTTTGTGAAGGCATTAACCCAAATCCCTGGGACTACAGTATAAAACTGCACAAGCCACAGAGAAGATACTGACTGTGTATGTGTATGTGTGTATACGCAGAAGTCTCCCAGGTTGTCCAATGCCACCTTCAGGAATGGCCCTGATCGAACACCTGGAATGCCTCACTCCCCTGCCAGGTTATCCAGGATAAGTGACCTCTGGACAAGGCCTTCAATTAAGGGTTACAGGCGAAGGGTAACAGATAGTCCCTCTAGCTACACTCAAGTATGTGAGATGTTGCTTCCTCTTTTTTTCTTTTTTTTTTTATTTTTGAGTCAGAGTCTCACTCTGTTGCCCAGGCTGGAGGGCAGTGGCACACTCATAGCCACTGCAGCCTTAACCTACTGGGCTCGGGCGCTCCTTCTGCCTCATCCCTCCAAGCAGCTGGAACTACAGACGTGCACCACCACGCCCAACTAATTTTTTTATTTATTGTAGAGACACGGGGTCTCACCAAGTTGCCAAGGCTTGTCTCAAACTCCTGGACTCAGGCAGTCCTCTTGCCTTGGCCTCCCAAAGTGCTGGGATTACAGGCTGGAGTCGTCACGCCTGGTGATGTTGGTTCTTTGAAAGGAACTACAGAGTTAAAATTTAAGTAATGTGTGAGGCATTCTGAGAGATGATGGCTTCCAACTCTTGATTTTAGAAAAATGAGAAGAAACTTAGAAGGCCTTGGGCCCACTCGTCCTGTTTCTTGATCCTCTGCCCCCAGGCGACTTAGACTCTGTAGGGAGATGATGGACATGACCACGTGTGGCCCAGCTCAGCCCTGGAGAGACTGATCAGAAAACTAGGAAAATCACTTTGGAGGTCTTCCTCTACCAACCAAGGAAACCAAATCGCCAACGCCTGCCCTTCCCTACGCGTTCGAGTTGCTTGCTTGCCCCTATTCGTAATTGTCTGAATATCATTGACATCACTAGAGCTGCTTTAACAAGGCAAAGCAGAAAGAGATCTCCTTTGTGCCTGAACTTGTATTCTAATTCAGGGCCACCATGGGCTTTGCTGACCCCTCTTGGAGCTGGGGTTAATAGAGGCCACACCAAATGGGGCAGCAGAGAGCACTTTGGACAGCAAGTGGGAGATCTAGATGCTCCCTTCATGGGCTTGTTATGAGATCTTGATCGCATTCATTTTTCTCTCTGGACCTCTCAGTGTGCTCATCCATAAAATGGAACAGGGTGGGGAAACAGCCCAGCCGTAGAGAACGCTTTGCTGTGTTCTAACCTTTTGCTGTCTGAGGAGCTTACATAGTTTTAGATCCAAATTCTAGCCTTCTGATTTTCTGCAAGAGTTTGTATTCAACTAGGGGAATAATTAGAAGACTCTGACCAAGCCTCACAAGGAGTCTCCATCATAGTCAGCGCGTCTTCGGTGCCCAGGGCATGCTGTTCTTAGGGATCATCAGTCTGGAGTGCATCACTTGCATTTTCTTGTGTGTAAGGTAGTAGCTGAAGATTTTCTCTCTGAACCACGTCATGTCCATACCGACTCAGAGACAGAGAATTTATATCAAACTGGGGGCTTTGACAAATATAACTTTATACTTCCAAAGAATTTGTTCTTTAAGTCTTCTGTTGGTCCCTTGTGCTTGGGAGGGTTCTACTCCATGCTGTTCCCAGAAGCTTCCACCACCACAGAGCAGGATCCTATGAGTGAGTGCTTTCTAGCAGACATCGCTGTCTGTGGAGTCAGAATCTTACCTGAAAGGGGCTGACTTCTTATGACATTCTGTTAGAGACCAAGAGAGCCATTCGCTGCTGTTTTCTAAATATCCTGTAGTCTCTCTTTTCAAAGTTGAATTTGTACCTGGACTTTCCTCTACTAAAGATTCTTAAGTGGGCAGCCACCTTAACAAGTTTTTCGGTTTCTTTTTGTACAATTATTTTCTGTTTTAATTTCCCATGGAAAAAGAAGAGATCGTTTTTCTTATCGGCATTCCTCTTTACCTGAGCAAGTCTTGTTCATGTGCATGTACAAATTTTATAGAATTCTGGTCATTACCTGGGTATATATTTATATTCTGCTTTCTTCACTTAATGTTGTTATTACTATAAGCATTTTCCTATAATGGTTAGATTCTTCATAGTTATCACTTTAAGCCAGAGAATTAAACTCTGCAGTTTAAATTTAAGACAGTGGGAGCAAATGGTGTTTGATGTTTTCCACAATAATAAAAGTCAATACAGCTACATTCCATGTAAACCACTTTCACCCGCCACCTCCTAGGTATTTTTTACAAATGCTCTGGTCTGACAGATCCAGCAAGTTACTTAAAAAGCAGGAATGGCGCTTGGAGCTCTCTACCTGTGTTTTAAAGTCTGACAATTGCTCAGATGAAGTAATCCTGTGGCTGGGGCTTACAGGAAGGGCCTGGTCAATAGCCTTGATGCATTTACTGACAGCCACTCCATTGGGGGAGTCAGGGTGCCTTCACTGTCTGCATTCTTCAGGCTTTAATCCCCTGGAATCCAGAAACATATGTGGGTGTGTGACGTTTTCCTAGTTGCAGGAGACAGCAGGTCACACTGTCTCAGAAAAATGGAGGGAGCTCTTAGGAATAATGTGACTGGTGTTTCAGCTGTGTACCATGTTCCCAGCTCCTGGAGTGCAGGGAGAGCCAACAGCGGCCCCAGGACAAGGTGGAGCCAGAGTCCCATCAGAGGAGACTGCACAGACACCTGACCAACCAGCTCCCGCCCACTGCCCCTTCCTGAAGTTGTGTTTTCTTGTTGTTTGTCTGTGGGCTTCACTAGAAGGAAAGCTCCCTGAGGACAGGGCCTCGCTTTGCTGCTCTCTGCCCAGCATCTGGCACATAGGAGGTGTAACACGGCGAATGAGTGAAGGAGTCTGTTGACCCCAAGCTCCTCCGCAGCAAAGCTTACAAAAGGTCCCAGTGGTGACTCTTACAGCTTTGTCTCTGGTCCAGCCCTCACTCCTGAGTACACACCCACATGCCCAGCTGCCTCCTGGACTTTCCTACCATGGTGGCTGACGGGCACCCTCACCCAACCAGTGTATCTGGCAGAAGCTGTCTTCCTCTTGTGTTCCTTCTCTCTGCGAGAGGCACCATCTCCCATTCCACTGCTCATGCCAGAACACTTGGTCACTCCAGAAAGTGTCTCAGTTCCATCTCCTCCTCTCTACTCCACCTTCTGTGCTCCTCTGGGCAGTTTAGGTGGACACAAGGGTTTTCCACAAGCAAGGTGGCCAGACCCCTTTCCAGCTGTCTCTACTGACTCCTCTGGATTAACTTGCTTCTTGACAAAGGCCTTCCCTGACTTCCCAGGTCTGGCTTAGGCAGAGCCCTCTTGCAACCCCCCAGGGTCCTGCGTTTACCTCTGTTGTGACCCTGCAGTAGCTCTGTATCCTCTCAGGCTCTGCAGAGACACTGAGACAGTCGGCCTTGTCCCTCATTGTTCTTCTAGGGTTTACCCCACTGCCTGCCATGTAGCAGAAACTTCGTAAATACTTGTCAAACGAATGAGTAAATTAGTGGGTCGAATTATTTCTTTCAGTTCTGTCTGAGTTGGTCTCAGGCTTTAATTGTTCCCATCGAACCTTCCTCCTGAGATAGATGCTTCCCACTGAGGGCGAGCACGGTGGAGCACTAGACAAGTCAATCGCGGGAGAATGGAATGGATCTTTTATTGAGTTGTAGCAGTTTAATAGCTCTCTGAACTCGCATTTTGCTTCGGTGTCACTCTATAAAGATTTACATGCCTGCATAGACATTTATATAGAACTTAGCATTCAGGGTTCATCAAGCCAGCAAATGTGCTTTTGGGGCCTTCAGTTTCGGGGCCAGCCCTGGATGTCTGGAATCTGTGTTTGGTGTGCCAGCTGTCCCGCTGGTGTCTGAGCCCAGCACCGAGCACAGGATCTCCCCCACCCCAGCCTGTCCCTGTCCTGCCGACTTCACCCTTAGTGCTCTGATTCAGCTGTTCAAGGCAAGAGACAGCTGAGTCAGCCCTGACTTCTCCCTCTTCTTCTTCCACATCCAAAATCCCAGGTAATGTTACTTCTCCTTCCAAAATCTCCTTCATATTCAAGACAGTGAATACGCATTGAAATCATGATAGCATTGAGCCATCATGGTCCTGACTCGTCCTCTGAATAGTAAATGACTAAGACTTGATAATTTCCATTCTTTTTGTTCACTACCATGTCACCACTCCTTCCTTAGTCGATTTTGAGAGTTTATTGGAAATGTCTTTTCACCAAACAACACTCTTCTTCCAAACTTCTGTGACCCTTGGCTCCCTGGGTATTTATTACTTGATCAGCACCTAAGACCCCCGCACCTCCACCCGCCTCTGCTTCAGCCACTTGTGTGTCAAGAACTGAACTGAGCCCCGGAGTTATGGCAGTCCTGCCCTCATGGAGTTTAGAGTCTGGTGGGAATATAGGCATTAAAAAGTAGTTACACGCCGGGCTCGGTGGCTCAGCCTGTAATCCCGTGCCTTTGGGAGGCTAGGTGAGTGGATTGCCCGAGCCCGCGGGTTCGAGACCTGCCTGGGCAGCGAGACTTCATCTCTACAATAAATCAAAAAATCAGCCGGGCTTGGTAGCGCGTGCCTG